GGAGCTTATGTTAGCAACTTCTCTCAGCTCCCAGGGGGCAGAAACACCTGCTAGGCATTCATCTCTGGGGCACCTGCCATGTACTCAGTGCTCAGCAAGTGTATTTGAATGGTTTTATAACCATTAAAGGCACAACCACAGTATCAAAACAACATCCACACTTGAGTACACACACACACACACACACACACACACACAATTCGGTGGTAAATATAACAATGGAAGTGTGTCCTGCCATTGCTGTTTGGTTGAAATTTCTGCAGTGTAGGTACATGGTGCACAAATCACAACTGATAATTCTCTTGGACCTGACAGCATTTTCAAGAAAGGAGCATGACACAGTAAAAATCAATCTTCCCCAAATGATGGGTTCAGCTTTTAAAAGTCCGTTTCTCTAACCAACCTGGGAGCATAATCTCAGCCCTTAGTTCACTTCTATAATTCACTGAGAAGACTTTAAATACCCTAGTTTCCTGGAAAATGCCAGGAAGTAATGAAAAAATGGATCCTTAGATCAAGTGTGCTCACACATCAGCAGGCATCATTCAAATGCCATTCAATGGGAGAGATGTTTAGCAAAACAAATTTAGGTTAGTGCTGGGCCAGTGCCACACAGGTGAGGCTCTGCTTATTAGGAGAGTGGCCCCTGATGGACTGAAGACAACACTCAGACCCTTTTAGGACCCGATCCTATCAAGTCTAACAGTAGAAAACTGTAGCTTTGCCATGACTTAGCCCTTTCTCCTCAAGACACAATTTTCTCTGAGCTGAGAAATGTATTTCTTTTCCAGGACATCAAGTATGTTTTTTGTTTAAACTGTAAGTGATACAATTAATGTAATAAATGAGACTTGACTGAGCTGGGTGTCTTAGGAGACCAGAGATTGAGTCCCTCCACGGGCCTTGTCTCTGTTCTCCTTCCTCCAGGAGTAACACTGGCCACAGTGCAAGGCTAGAGAGGTGACTCAGTGGGGAAAGTGCTTGCCACTTGAATGTAAGGACCTGAGTTTGAATTCCTAGGAGTCACATAAAAAAATCCTAATGAGTTGGTGCCCACCTGTGATCACAGCACGCCTGTGAAAAGATGAGAAAGAGAGGCTCATCCTACTGTCAAAACCAAATGCCTCAGCAAGGCGGAAAGGGAACCAATCCCTGAAGGTTGCTCTCTGATTGCCACACGTGTGCACACAGCATGTACAAGAAGGTACAATGCATGGATTGAGCATGGGATGAGAAGCCCACATTCCAGAGGACAAGAGAATGAAGTAAGTTTATGCAGGCTGAAATGTTTTCTAGAAGGACGACACTTAGCCATCAAATGTAAGGTTAACAAGTGTAACTCTACTGATGTTACCCTATCCCTGGAGTGTTTCTGTGCTAAATTTGGGCAAACATAGCAGTGTGAGTCATACAGGCACATCTGTGTCATGTCATGTGGGATGGTACCCAGGGAACTGTAAAGTGTCAGTGGATTCAATCGCCAAGCAAAAGTCACCTCTAGATACTGCCTACACCTGCATGGAGTGGATTCCAGGTCCCTGTGTGTGATATGAGGGAAGTGAGGCGGTTATTTGTGACACATGTCTCTGAAAGGCTTCAGACAGACACAGCTCAGAGTGAGAATGTAGAGTTTTTAGTGACCGGTGGCTAAAGGGGAAGATTTGCTTAGGTTCACAAAAAAGAAGGCTTTTGGGCTGGCTGTTCTGAAGGAGCCACATCTGTGAGCACTGACGGCTGTAGGAGGAAGCCACTGTGCACAGTTAATCTTGGAACACGTGGCCTGTTAGTTCCTGTTTGGCATTGTACAGAGGTGGCAATGATGAAATTGGACTAAGAAGCCTCAATATGAGGGAATCCCAGCCTCTGGGGATACCTGAGGTATGTGTGCCAGGCACTGAGCATTGGTGCACAGCTTAGAGTTCACAGCTCCTGCCAGATTCCCAAGTAAGTACACAGCCCAGCCATGTTTGGGATGTACCTGTTGCCCTACAGCAAGACAAATCAAGACAGGCCAGAAAAACAAATGGAAGGGACAAATGTCAGCATTCCACAAAACCAACTGAAGATACCATACAAGGATCTAACTGGCAGTGAGTATGAGAGGGCATTGTGAGCATGCAAGCAATGAGAGATTCACAAAAGGAAAGATACATTGATTCAGTACCAGAGTTTCTGATATGTCAGAAGTCAAGATAGAATTATAATAAAGAACAGAAATTTCTTCAAAAAAGAAACTTCTATTTATGTCAGCAAAGAAGACTCTCAACACTGAAGTTAAAAAAAAAGCAATGGCTAGCACCAGGTGATTCACAGAATACACTGCTAACGCAGTACCATGGAGATTGCTGCTATGAGCTCACCATGCTCAGTTCTGGACTCTTGTGCAGTAACATGTTCATAGCTTGAAACTGGTCAGGATACAAGTTTTTAGGACAGAGAAATTAGCTGAGCTGCTAGATATAAAGTAGTTTGAGTGTTATCAACAATAACAGAAAAAGGAAATGAGGTTGTGACAAGATGGAAGAATCATAGTTTACCTTACTCCTTTTTGGTACTTGCAATAAAAAGCTCATCAAGCAATTAAAAATTAGAGAAAAAGACTACCCAGTGAACTCTAGACTCAAGGAACTACCCAGTGGTGGGTCCTTTTGTGTGCACATAGGTGCATGCTAGAGCCCTAGCCAGGATGTATAAAAGAAACAAGAGAATAAAATATGTAAGTACTTATAATCAGGAAAAAACTAAATGGCACCAAAGAAATAGAAACAAACTGAAGAAAGCCTCCCTTCTGTAGTGGTAAGCCTGGGACAAGGGATGTCCAGAAAAACAAATATTTTGACCATATGTGATTTTATTCCAGTTCAGCCCCCCGAGACACCCCCACCCCCCACCAAATGATTAGTCATTTCTTTCCTGAAGCAGAGACCATGGAAAGAACTCTTAGTGGATTTCTTATCACCTCAGAGTCCAGATGAAATGGGAGGAACCCCTTTCCAAAGTCAACCTAAAATTCTATACCCAGCAAAAATACCCTTCACGAATGAAAAATACATCCTTAGACAAAGAGATGCTAATAAGTGCCAACAAAAGGCTTTCTTAAAAGAATAGTGAACTGAAGTTTTTCAGGCAGAAAGGAAATGGTGAGATACAGAACATCAGGAAGGGGGGAAAAGTTGATTATATGTACTCATACATTTAGTACATATAATCAACTCCTCATTGGTTTTAAAAAGTCTGTTTGGCTGAAAGCAAAAATTCCATCTGAAGTGACTCTTGATGCCCATAAAGACCACTTAAAATATTTTACATGCATACATGTGTCCAAGTGTATGTGCACCACATGCAAGCCTGTAGAACTCATGTGGGTTCTGGAAATTGAACCCAGGTCCTCTGCAAAAGCATGGAGTGTTCTTAACCTCTGAGGCATTGTTCTAGCTTCAAAGGCCATGATTTTAAGTCATCTGTTATTTAAAGGAGGTCAATTAGACCCAAAAGCTGGGAATTCTACATTCTTTCTGAAGCAATAAAATACTGGTACAAAGTTGGATTGATTTTCAGAGAGGTGTTTTTTTCCCATCAAGGCAAAATTTGATCCTCAGGAGACAGCAAGAATAAACACATGATTACAAGTGTTATTGTCAATTGAGAGAAAGAGGCAAGTGCTGCTGAGTCTCCCACAAAAGCCCATAGAAATCCCACATAACAATTACCCAGCCCAAAATTTCAAAATGCAGAGGAGACAATACTATAGATAAATGAACCTCAGATACTAAGAAATGTTTAAATTGAAACGAAAACTAACGGGCGCAGGCACATTTATCCTTGGCCTCTCCAGCAACCCCTCTCAAGAACTGATTAAACTACTAGACAGAAAGAAAATGGAGATGCTACATTTTATCTACCAAATAAGCAAAGCTTTGAAATACCAATTTCTGTCTTTCTCATCATGACCTTGCTGGCATCAATATGAGAATACTCTAACCATTTAACTTTGTCCAACCACTTAAAGATCTGTGTTTTCAATTTGATATTTCACTTGAATCTTCCCTAAAGGAATCCAAAAATGTATCTGTCCAGATCCTCCAAATAAGAACTGTTCATAAAGCAAAAACCCACAGTTATAAAGCATACCCACTAACTTACAGGTACTTCAGAAACTATTCCACATCAAAGCCACATGCTGCTGTTAAAAGAACACTGTACAGGTCCTGTGTTGGTAAGGTATATAGAAACAACTTTAAAGCAGAAACATGGGCTGGAAAGCTGTGTGCATAGAGAATCACATCGCTTATGTTAAAGATGTAATCATAAACATATAAAAATAACACCATAGGAAAATATAATGATAGCATTTAAAAATGATTGTTTCATTATTCATGTTGCCAACAGTATCCATAACCATTCTCTAAATATTATAGTCGGAATCCCAGCTTCTTCAGGTGTGGGTCATTAACTCAACACACAGTAGCCGGAAGTGAATTCAAAGCCAAATGTGTCCTAAATCTGTGGTGGTCTGGATGTGCTTGCCCATGTCACATCCTATGACTTCACTGCAACCTTGGTTCTGAACACGCAACGCAAACAATCACATCATGGACCACTTGACAAACACTGCCAAGCTTCTGCTGTACATAGAAGGCTGTCTACTCCTCCAGAAACAGAGGCTTAATTACAGAAAATACAGACTTTTAATATTTTCCTATCATTTCTTATCTATATACTCGGAGTCCTATAAAAATTCTTCAGGTATAAAGCACCCACAGTAGAAAAAGTTTTAAGTCCTGGCTTAAATGATAAATCACATGGGCATGGAAACAAATCTGAATATTTTAAAAATTACTTATAGGCATTGCACATGAGTTATCTCTGTTAACCATCTGATTAACTGAATTCCACTTCACGTAGTCACTATGTTAAACAATTTGCCCAAGTTTACATGTTAGCAACTAGTAGAACTTGGATTTGAACTGCATCCCACCCAGTCAGCACAGGAGGCATACCTGGGCTTGCCTGAGTGCAGGATTGACAGGCAGGGGCCTGGCAGGGCCACTGGGTGCACGTGGGGCCTGGTGAAGAGGTGGGAGCACTCTTTGAGGTGACTGGGGACGAGGGATGACTCGAGTGTTGAGGGGCCTGCTGATGTCGATGGTCTGGCTTTGCAGCGACCGCCTATCCTGCATGGTCAAAGCAGAGAGTCAGCTCCTATGGGGTTCACTTTCTAAGGAAAGAACAGTGTTAGTCAGTCTGTAACCACAGTCTACCTGAAAAGGAGAAGTTCAGGGTGTCCATGTGAAGGACTGTATTTACTTATGTACATCTCAAAATTCTAAAGGAAGCAACTCCTACATCTGGAATGGAGAGATGTGCTTTTATATAGATTTTAAAAAATGAGCATTAAAACCCAAACTGGTGACAGTAGCACTCAGAAGGCTGAGTCAGGAGAACTGGAGTTTGAAGCTACTGTTTGCCATATAGAAGATTCCACCTCAGTCACTCAATCTTCAAGCTGGTTTAAGTTGCAAATAGATGAGAGAAACTTGAAGCACCAAGTCTTAAGATACAGACTGGATCACAAAGACATTATAAAGAAGGCACAAGCTTAACACTTAACACACGGCTAAGGGTAACATGAGAACTATCTGCTCCAGAAGTGAGGTGTTCATCTCTGGACAAGCTTTCCTTGTGTTCTGAAGGAGGACCAGAGCAGGTGCAGCATGACCTGATACTTTGCACTTTCTTTTTATAAACAACTCTTCTTGAGGCATGATTGATACCCAGTTAATTGAATGTATTTAATGCACATAATTAAGTAGTTATTTTCTTGACCCAACTTTTTGTTTTGCCTCTGTTTTTGTGATTTGAGCCAAAGATGCTTTTCATGTACAGGCACGTGCCACCATGCCTGGCTTGACTGATGTTCATACTCATGGAGCTATTGTAGCCACCATGACAATGTGTCTGTCACCCAGAAGAGCCTCCTTGTCACTTGTGCCTCCCTTACATCTCCCCTAGACCTTCGCATCCTCTTGGTGTCATCCTAAATAAGTTTTCATGCTTTAAAGTTGTACATAAATGACACCCTAGAACATGCGCTCCTTCTCTGACAGGTCCTCTGGCTTGGAAAGGCTACTTGGAGCTTTGCCCTCAGTGTTACACGAGTCGGTGGCTGACTCTGTCTTCTTGAGTAGCAACCACGGTGTAATATGCCACTGCTAACCTTTCACCTGTTGTTAGACCTTTGAATCATTTCCAGTTTCTAGCTCTTGCTTTTGGCCTCCACAAAACATACCTTTCTAGCTGGTGGTTCCAGGTTTGGGAATGAAGGGAGGCACCTTTACTGGGAGTGGTGGCTTCCCTTTTAGAAGCCCAACTTCTATTTTTTAGACCAAGAGAAGCAAAACAGCGTATTGCCTGCTGAATTGGTGATAATATCCTTTTCAGTAATTTCTCATTTCTTGGCACCTATCTTATTCCCTGTTTTAATTTGTTTGCATCAGTCAGATACTGTGCTGCTATGACAGAGTGCCTGGTGTGAGCAGCTTGGAAAGAAGGTTTACTAAGGCCAATTACTGGCTCCAGAGGTTCAGCCTGTGGTTGCCTAGCCCTGTGCCCTTAGGTAGTAGAATAGCATAATTGAAGTGTGTGCAGAACCATCTGATGGACAGGAATCAGGGAGGGGGGAAGGAAGGAGGGTGTAACAGAGATCAGTACAGCCTTCAAATCTCCCTCTTCTTGCCTTGGGATTGACTTCCCTTCAGGAGGTTCAGTGTGTCCTGAAGTTTCCCCCACCTGGTATCACCACCCGGAGGCCAAGTGTGCAACACATGAGCCAATGTTGAACTCACATCCAAACCATAATGGAGTTCAATATTTAAGGGTTCTTGTGGACAAACCAAACACTGAGACATGCAAGAACCACTGGATACCTAAGGATAAGGATATAACTTTTTAAAAGAATAGAGTAAGCATGGATTCCACAGTTATGGGCAAAACTGAGGCTCAGTAGAACTTAGACACAGGCCAGAAAGCTCAGCTAGACACAGTTGGCGGCCCCTGGAACAGGAGCCTACTCTGGTTGCATCCCCAGCGTGGCTGCTGAGAACATGACAGGTCTAGGTCACTGTAGAGATTGATTGTGGTTTGTAATAGCCACATCCCGAACTATGTAGGGACACTGATTGCCTTATCAGAATCTTTTAGGGACCTCAGGCTTACCTCTGGAGCTTACCTCTGGATCCAACTCTGAGTTCTGACCATTACAGGGGCAGTGGGGTATGGGTGAACCAAATATGCTGACTAAATAGGAATGATGGAGCCCTGTTTTCCCATGCAATCTTGTTTTGTAAAACTCCTGCCTTTACAGCACACTAAGTCCTTGTGTAACCTACCTTAGGGGTGTTGGAATGTGGTGACCGGCTCATTAGTAGGCCTTTTCCGAGGGTGGGGTGAGCCTGGCCAAGGTGAGAGCCACTAGGTATCCGGGAAGGGTGCACACACCTGTAAGGCAACCCAACATTTGCTAAGCAAGGGCTTTAACCCCTTCTTGCTATAACTGCTCATATTCTGTTCCTGGTGATACTTAGACTGTCACTTAAAAAAAAAAAAACAACTCCATGGGCAATCATGCAGGGAAAAGAGAAAGATCTAACATGCCCATGAGGCAAAAAAATGCATACTGACCTTCCGCTCTCCAGCCACTGTTCTGTCAAATTAGTTAACTGACAACCATAGAAACTTAGCTTTGGGTGCACAGGGGATGTTTTGCACGAAGCTGGCATTTCAGCAATAGTGTCTCCAGGCAAATTTGGGTCTGAAGTTCTGCCATCTGAGGAACACATTCCAGTGTCCACATGCCTTGTAAAACATACTAATGCAAAGATGAGAGGAGACCCATCCGTGGGATTCACCAACACCCTGCTTGTTTATATAATAGGCGGCACATAGTTTGAAGGGAGAGTCAAAGAGACAGCTGGCCTGGCAGACACTTAACGAAAGCAAAAACAAACAAAAGAAACCCAAAGACCCAGTGTTATTATCCAGAAAACTGCCTTCCTCCCTTGCTGAAGGTGATGCAGCGAGAAGCCCAACATTCTTCAGCCATCATTTCTTGAGGAGATGACATACCTCAGCTTTTCTATGGTGGTTTTCTTATGTGTGAACAGCAGCCGCATCAAGGTCTTCCTTTTGAGATATATCACAAATCCAGCAGCCAGCAGACACAGGATGCTCACCAGGATTCCTACAGTCAAGCCCTGGTTATCTGAAACAAAATACATTTGGCTCAGGGGAGGAGGCCGTTCCAATAAAACACAGAAGACAACGCACTGTGACATTTATGGCAAAGCAAGCTTGAAAGGAACAAACAGAACCAGAGCACGTAAATCCCTGAATGACATCCTAATAAATTAGTCTCTCTTCAAAGGTTGTGTTTGAGCTCTGGTCTATGCCACCATTATTCATCTGTGACAACTATGGAACTTGCTAATGCAGGGACATGTTCTGGTAGGTGGGACTCTGACTGGACCACACAGATTCCCCTAGGCACAACCACAGCAGAGTGGATCAAAGAGCTATACGAAGTACCAGGGGACCATCTTATCAGGATTGGGGGCTCCCAAAAGGTCACCATTTACCCCTCCCCACATATCTTTGAGTGTAGGCTCCTTTCATACTTCAGCTTGAATTTTCTTTTACCTTTCATTCATTTATTTATTCTTGAATGAGACTTCATCTTAGAACATCTTAAGTTAAAGAAGGAAAAAAAGAAAAGATTGGCCTAAATGAAGTTACTCCTGTGTAACAGGATAAATAAAAGACCCAAAGGCAGATATTGGGGTTCAAGCGTCAAGCTGAAGATCAGAAAAGCAAACCAGTGATTCACTAGCTCTTACCTCTACCTCAGTTCAGACCAAAGGGGCGAGCCTCAAACTGCTCTGACTTAACTGCTCCTCAGATTCACTCAGACTGCTATGCTCTTCTTAATGTGGCTAGAGACTAATTCTCAGACTGAATGCCACTGCCTGTTATACCTCTCAAATCCTGGAATTAAAGGCGTGAGCTCTGATTCACTCTCTGGTAGCCCAGGGTGGTCTTGGACTCAGAGATCCATCTGCCTTTCTTCTGAGTCCTGGGATTAAAGGTGTGTACCAACACTGCCTGATCTCTATAGTTTGAGGCTGGCTTTGCTTTCTGAATCCTCAGGCAAGTTTTAATAAATCATAAATAATATATCACCACACCCATGGATTTGGTTTCAGTCTACTAGGGATTTAATACTGCCTTTGGTGGCAAGCTCCTTATTGTTGGGAGATGGTGTGCAAATTCTTTATGAAATTTTACCTATGGGGCTGAGGCTGGGTGTGGTGATATCTTACTTGTACAAATAAAGCCTGTCTGAAGGTCAGAGAATGGAGCTTGCCACTAGCTAACCATAGAAGTCTGGAGGTCTGTATAGACATATAGGAAATGAGGTAACTAGGCAGAAACAGGATATAAGCAGGGAGAAACAAGAACTTGCTCTCTTGTCTGCTGAGACACTAAGGAGGTAAGGTGTGGCAGTGGCTTTCTCCTTCTCTCTGATCTCTCAGCATTTTCCTCTATATCTGACTCTGGGTTTTTATTAAATAGACCATTTACCATTAGGCCTGTAGCTAAGTTGGTACAGTGTATGCAGGAAGCTCTGGGTTTGATCCTCAGAACCCCTCAAACCAGATGTGGTGTTACACATGCTTGGGAGGTAGACGCAGGAGGATTAGAAACGCCAGGCTATCCTTATCTACATAGAAAATTTGAAGCTAGTCTGAGATCTATTTTTTAAACTATCTATTCTTTTTCCTTTTGTAGTATGATGCCTTCTTATTTAGCACATGTGGAGAGGAGGACAAGTAACCTATCAGGCTGCATTGTGATAGCCAGAGGTAATCTGGGAGATGCCAAGAATCACTTGGGAATTCATCAGAACTGTGACATCCTGGATAACGGGGATCCCTCAACTACCAGGAATGTTGGGCTGCATATACTAGGTGTCCAACAGTCCCTAAAGGTTTCTGGGAACCAGACTCACCCTTTTCCCGCCTCCCTTCAGCACTCAATTGCTGCTGATCCAAGTAGCAGCTGTCCCAGCTCTGGGCCCACCTGCCCTCTGTTTCTGTACTTTGTGCTCAACTGATGTGTCCTATAGGGGCTACTATGGCAGTCTGCCTGTAGTCACATGCATGACTAGAAGAACATTGTTTCTGGTCTCTTGGTCAAATGGCATTCCTCTCAGACATAGTGGCAGCCCTGGGCTTCTACTAGGCTCCATTGTCTTATAACAAATCGACATAAAAAATGACCAGCAAGAACCTCAAATGGTAATTTTCAGTTCTTGACATCAACCTTATGTCTTAAAGTGATCCAATCAAAGTTCTGCCAGGCCCTAAGTGGCACCTAGGCATCTCAGGATTGCCTATTGCCATGAATAGCAGTGCCATCTCCTGAGCTATTCAAGCCCGTGTCTCAGGCAACATCATGACTCCATTGTCCAATCTGTATCCTGGGAGCTGCCCTTGGTGACTGTCATCCTGTCCTGCTCCTAGACCTTGGCCAGTTCTCTGTATTTGAAGTCTCTCTATTCTGTAGATCTCTTTTCTGAGACAGGGTCTCATAGAGCCCAGGATGGCCTGGAATTTGCTATGTAGCCTAGGACAGCCTTGAACTCTTGGCCTCCACCTCCCTACTGCTAGGTGTGCCATACTGGAAATTAAATTTAGAGCAGTGGTTCTCAACTGTCCTAATGCTGCACCCCTTTGATACAGTTTCTCATGTTGTGGTGGTCCACAACCATAAAATTATTCCATTGCCATTTCATAACTAATTTTGCTTCTGTTATGAATCATAATGTAAATGTCTGATCTGCAGATGTTCTTAGGTAACCCCTGTAAAAGGTCATTCAAACCCAAAGTGTTGAAGCCCACAGCTTGAGAAGCATTGAGCTAAGACCTCATACATCCTAGGTGAGCACGCTGTTGACTAAGCTCCAACCTTAGCCCTCCCAGGGATCTTCTTATTATCCCCCCCCCCCACCACCACCAGTAACCATGCTCAGAGCATACACCACCATGCTCAACTTCTTATGTAGGTTCTGTGGCTCCACACTCAAGTGGCAAGCACTTTACCACTGAGCCATCACTGGTGGTAACTATCCTCCTTATTATTAAGAGGTAGGTGTCATACTTTTGTTCTTTCTTGCTCTTCACTCTCCATCTCAGTGTCTGTGCCCCCCCCCCCCCGAGTGTAGAGCGTGCCCATGCTATCATTCCTCTACTCAGAGTTTTAGGATGTGCTGAGGTGACAGCACACGAAGCTACCCTTTACAAAGTCCTTTGATATGACAGTGACATCCATACACATTTGGCAGTTCACTGTGGACATTGCTTCAGCTGAGAAAAGTGTCACAGGGAGAGAAAATGGCCAACATAATGGCTCGCCTGCATCGAGGGGGATCCAGGCAAAGGGAAGGTCCAGGGAGAGCAAGAGTGTTTAGAACCTGAAGGCTTCAGGCTGGGACAGAGGCACTCAGAGTCCCCACTGTGGGGAAGCCTGGTCAGTATCCACAGCCTCCAGCAGTTCAGCATCCCTCCCAGGATTGCTGGGGTCCCACTCACCTGCTTGCCGGATGGGGCCACTATCTGTGCTTCCTCCAAAGCCAAACTTGTCACAGAAGGGAGGTGCCCAGTGGGCTTCACAGTGGCAATTCTTCCTATTGTTACACACCTTTGGGGCAAAAGTGGACAAAACATCCAGAGGGGGCAGAGTTAGGACACAAAAGACAAGGGTACTCGGCCAGATCCCCTCAGCAACAAATGTAGACTCAGTAAATGGAAGAGCAGGAGAATCCGCCGCAGACAGAACTCGTCACTGAACTGGAGCCCAAGGAGAGAAGGCAAGAGTAGGACAAACTGCTTGTGTTCAGGGGCTGCTGTTGAGAACCAGCTCCCCTTTCCTGGTCTCTTTTAACTCAGGAGAGCTATGGAGCTGCCCTTCTCTGTGGTAAGGAGGCCACTTAGGGACCTAGAATCAGATGACTGGCGGGGTAGGGAAGTAGGCCTAGGCTGGGCCTCTTATTTTCTGATGTCCATGAAAGTATGCCAGGGTCTACCAATATTCCTGTGACCCTACTCTTATGCCCAAATGCCTGCTCTTTTTTTCAGCCTCTTGTGGCCATTACCTGGCTCCCTGTCACAATATATGGTAGGCGAAGACAGTAGACCTCTTCTTTGTGAAGAAGATGGTAGGAGAGGGTGCTTTTGTCCTTGCTCTCCCTGGTTAATGCTCTCTAATGGGAGAGCAGAGTTCCAGGAGGAGGACCTAGGAGTCTTCATCTACTTGCCAAGGGTTACCCATTGTGGTTCTTCTGCTTGAATTCACTGTTGATGTTTACAGAACTCACCAAATCGAGTATGAACCAGTTGATTTCGAGTGTGAAGAGCAGAAGATTTTTCTCATTTTAAAAATTTTTGAGAGGAGATCTCATGCATCCCAGGCTAGCCTTGCACTAGCTACGTGGCCAAGAATGGCTTTGGATTTCTGATTCTCCTGCCTCCAGCTTCTGAGTGCTGAGAGATTACACGTGTGTCCCACCATGCTCACTTTAGGAGGTACTTGAGATCACTCTCAGAGCTTTGTACATGCTAGGTAAACACTCCATCAACTGAGCTACATCCCCAGTGGCAGGAGTCTGCATATCTTGTTTTATGAAAAGAGGGCAAAGCTTTGGGAGCATTGGATAAAGGTCTACTTGACAAATTAGGGAGGGGTAGGACAGTGGTAGGATGGCTGGGGATTGCTGCTCAGATCAAGGACTATGATCCCAGATAGCTATCTGGTATCTATACTTCCCTTCCACTTAAACACTGTAAATCACAGATGGTGAATTTCTGAGTAGCTTGTTGTATGGAAATCGGTGGAACTAGAAGCCAACTCTAGGGCCCTGCATAAAAACATGCTTGAATATTTGAAGGCAAATGAAAGATTTGCAGTCTGTGTCTTGCTTTTGATGGCTCCCTGCTCTAACTGGCTTCTGTGAAGGATCCAATCACTTGTCCAGTTGCTTCATCTGTGGAAGCTAACAATCAACAAAGCTGTGGGAAGCAGGGATGCGCTTTCTAGAACACTCCTGTTCATTAGGGCTCTATGTTTTTGCAGAGCATCCATGACTACTGGGTTACAGATTTCTAAGGGTCGTAAGGGATGGACTAACCCAGTCCTTTTGTTTTAGTGATGAGGCCAAGGCTTCCATGGCAGGGTTGGTGTATCCACAATAACCCTGGGTGGTCAAGAGCAAGTGAGACAGACTACACTCTAGTGTGTAAGGTACACCCTGCATGCATGGCAAAGGTGCTGCTGCTGGCAAACCACCATGAGACTCACACCCTGCCTTGGTGTGGGTGGTCTCTAACTTGAGGCAGATTCCCTACTAGGAGGTATTGGTGGTGAGCCTGGTCTCATCATAGAGAGATTGGGACCAAGCTACTTGTTACCCAATAAATGTCTGATGTTGTTTAATACCCTGAAAAAATACATTTAAAGAAATAGGGTTTATTTTGACTTATGTTTCCAAGTCCACCATGGTATGGAAGTCATGGTGATGGGAGCTTGAAACAGGTGGTCACATCACATTCAGTCATGAATTTGAGAGCCATGAATTCTGTGCTCAGCTCACTTTCTCCTTTTTATATAGTGCAGGATCCCAGCCCAGGGAATGATGCTACCCATAGTGAGCAGGTCTTTCTACCTCAGTTAATGTAGTCAAGGTGATCTTCCACAGGCATGCCCAGAGGCCCAGCTTCCAGGTGACTCTAGATCTCACAAAGTTCACAATGGAGATTAACTATCACAAAAGTCATAGCTGGCTATTTCATAAAATATGGGCGTTGGTTTGCCAACATGTACCCAGAGATACCAGAAAGAGGGGCTTCTGCCCTACTTTCTCTGAGCTGGCTAGGTTACTAAGACACACCCTCACTACCACATTGGCCTTGGTCTCACCTCTAAAACAAAAGGGCCAGGCTTGCTCATCAATTGCCATTAGAAATAAATCTATAATCCAATGAAGACATAAAGAGATTCCATTTGATACTGAGTCAGCTGAACACAACATCAACATGCTTGTCTGAGGCGGCCTGGCAATCTGTCATGGTTACAGCATAGTGGTGATTTTGCAAAGACCTCCATAATCCCAAGTGTCTAGATAGTCTAAAAATACAATTTAGAGCATGGTTTCTGTAGGAAAAGCTTCAGGAGAACAAATGAGCCACTGGCGCAACTAATCAAGATTAATATAATCCCATTGGAAAAAAATTAACTGCACCAGGAAAAATAAATTACGTTTTAAACAATTAGAGTTCTTTCTTCCCTAAAGCTTCTCAGAACTCAGCAGCATGTGGTAGTCAAAACCCATGACAAGGGCATTCAAGAACACGTGTTTGGTAGATCTGATGTCCTCATTTTAATCCCTTTTGCAAGTATCTTGGTTGAGACATATTTGGGCTGTTGGGAGCAAGAGGGACAGCCTGCTTGAAATGCTAATGCGAGCCCTTCATGAAGCAAGGTTAGCTTAGAAATTACTTTGAAGATGACAAAATTCTTTCTTTATAACACAGAATGTTAATTCAAAAGATAATTACCTCTCAATCTGATTTTCTTTGTTAAATGAAAGTGACATTTCTCCTGCTATGTAAAGGTCAGAGACAGTTAACGCCTCTGGAAGAAAATGTCGAGGAGGCGCTCACTGCCTGCTATAGTTTTTAAAAAGCTTTGGATAGTAGGGGCTGGAGAGGTGGCTCAGTGGTTAAGAGCACTTGATGCTCTTGCAGAAGACCTGGGTTTGGTTCCTAGCCTCTACATGGTGGCTCATAATCACCTGTAACTCTAGTTCCTGGGAATCTGACCCTCTCTTTAGCCTCTGTGGGCAGCAGCACACACATACTCATACATGCAGGCAAAACATTCGTGCACATAAAATAAATCCATCAGAAAAGTTGAAAGGTATTAGCTGGCTGCAGACTGGCTGAGAGGAGGTGACTAATTCTACTTACCCCTCGGCCATGGCACTGCATCACACACTTGTGAACCCCGAAAACACTGATATTCTGACATTGACGATTGAGGCAGATCTGTGGGAGACACATATCACATGCTTCAATACCTCTGCTCCCTCCCTTACACAGGCATATGAAAAAGAAAACAGAGGACTTGAGAGATGGCTCTGTTGGTAAAGTATATACTGTGCAAATCTAAGGATCTGAGTTCAATCCCCAGAACCCATGTAAAACAAACAAACAAACAAGCAAGGCATGGTAGTGTGTGCTGGTGGAGAAAGGTGGATCTCTGGAGCTAGCTGGTCAGCCATCCTAACCTAGTAGCCCTGGCCTCCAGTGAGAGACCCTGTCTCAAAAACCATGGTGGATGTCACCAGACAAATGAGGCCAGAGGTTGATCCCTGGCTTCCACAGGTCAAACATGCTTGCATACCCTCCATACATACCATGAAAGAGAAAGCCAGGAAAACTTGGAGAAGGTTCTCATTTTAGTGAGCATGGATGGATCATAATAACTTGTATTGTTTGCCTCAGACAGAGCTATCGGGGTCTGATTCGACACTTTGTCCAATGTGAACAGTATTGAATTCTTTTATGTTTAATGGCATGTAAAATGGTTTTAGTGGAAATGAGAAGTTATAACTGATTTCCTCATGAGTTTTGTTTAGAGCTTTGGGGTCGCTGGTGACACACAGCATCCACAGGAATGCTCCCCAGAGTCCTGTTTATCTAGAAACTACCATTTGCTGAATGGCCTTGGCTAGTTGGAAGTGGCTGCCAGTTTGAGCAGTGCTCCGCACCTTTCTGTCCTGCAACTTTACAGATTAGTGGAGAGAAAGGAAGAGTTCAAGGTTAGAACACTGAGTGGATTCACCAAGTAGAACTTCCTGTGGGCAGGGACTCCCGCCACAATTCCAGAGGTGGGTTCCCTTAAGAGAAAAGCTGGGATCCTGGATTTTCTGTATTTTGTGATTCACATAGATATGGGATATTTCTCACTGTGGTTTTAATGGTGTTTCCCTGTTGATCTGTGAAACAAAGCATTTTCATAGGGTTATTTACCATCTTTGCCATCTTGGGTGAGTTTGTGAGGGTTCTCTGCTCACTTTTAGTTGGGGGTTGAAGAGTTCTCGCCAGTGGTAGGGTGTGACACCTCAGCTCTATCCAGGATTTTGTGAGGGAAACCCTAACCCTAGATTCTGTCCTTTCTTTACCATGACCTTTGAGAGTGACTTCATGATCATGGAAAAATGGGTTCTAAAAATATGAGATGATTTATCATGTTTTCTTGAAAATTTTAATTTGTTATCATTTAGTCTGATGGAAAATCTGATTAAAAGACAAACAAAAGCAAAACAGAGACTGAAGAGAGAGCTCAGTCTGTAAAGTGTGTGCTGTGTAAGCATGTGACCCTGTATCCAAAAAAAAACAAAAAACAAAAAAGAAGGAAAAAGAAAAGAAGAGACAGAAAGAAAAAGATACCTGAGGAATGTAGTTAAGATTGTCCTTGGTACACACACATGCACATGCACACACCTTGTACACATAAAGACACACATGCTGCACACACACACATGCTCATTCATGTTCACACATACTATATACGAGCATACACATGTACACCCACCCACACTCATATCTGCACACATGCCTGTTTATAAACCAGTGTGGTACAAAATCCTAGTTTTTCCTCTAAAATTTTGCTTCATTTTAAACTCTGAAAGCATCTCAGCCTTCCTCCTCCCAGTTCTCCCCAAGTGCCTCCCTCCGTCTCTCAGCTGAGCCCCTCTCCTGTGCTCCTTGTTTCTCTACAGTCTCTGAAGACCAGCTGACTTCCCATTTTGCCCAGGTGACAACAGACCCCAAGAGCTTTGGCACTTCCCCAAAGCAAGATGATCCCCTGCTGTTCTTCTTTCTGAGGTCATTGCCTGGCAGGAAGCCTCCCTGAAGCCCAGGATGAAGAAATAGCTTATGCTAAAGGGAGAAAAGAACCCCAGGTCCCCCGATCAGTGTCTCAATGGTCAGACTGAGAACCTCGGCTTGAATGACTTTTTCTTCTAGGTGCAAAGAGTTGGGTTCCAGAGACAGTCATATTCTGAGGAGCTTTAGGAAAATCAGCTGGCCTCATTCCCCAGCTCCTAAGCAGGCTCTTCCAGTGGGATGTGTTCCAGACTTACATTAGGATGCAAGTGAGAACTGGGTTCTTACTTTTCCTTCAGCACACTTTGTTCCCGAAAGCACAAGCCCTGGGTCTGGCATGTCATCGCCCAAATACACATGGGTCCCCCGGCACAGAATCCGACCTCCTTCCTGCTGTGGGATGTTTGTTTCTATGGAAACTGCATTGGTACCAATGACTGGCCGGCTGGCACCACCTTGACACTGGATTTTTCCGCACTTGGCATCTCTGGAAGGGTAAGAACACACAAGCTCAGAAGAGGGACAGTGTGGAGCGGCCTCTGCCATGTGTTGGGGCTCAGTGCCACTGCGGCAGGGTGTGTGGCCGCATACCTCATCTCACATTTGACGAAGGCGCTCTTGGAGTCTTTGCCACAGTTGCCATAAGGGTCTCCTGCAGAGTTGACTCTCTCAAAGCAGATGCCAGGGGCTGGTTTCGCACCTGGAAGAGAAGAACAGTGGTGCCTTCCTCATCACGGCTTATGATTTCTTCTGAACAGCACGGGACTTTGGGGGTCAAGGAGAGGGGTATTCCATGTATAGAGAAGAGGCACACGGTACCGAGCCGGCTCAAGAGTGGGCTGGTGCAAACCTGGGGGATCTACAGCTGGTGTCCTCGCCTGGTCCAGCTCGGGGAAAGCCCACTCATTTTTCCTGTGCTGCGTTGTAGGCTTAAATTCAGGAACCAAGGCATGTAAGACTCTCTAGAGATTAGGGCGAGCCGTGCAATTGGATCTGGTCAGGAGCAGGAAGGAGTTGGCTGGCTGGCTGCAGACAAGGGGAAGCTACTCTCTGTAGTTACATCCCACACAGTTCCGGTGAGAAAAGACAAGCTAGGCAGGCGCCAAGTGTGTGTGTGTGTGTGCGTGTGTGTGTGTGTGTGTGTGTGTGTGTGTGCGTGTGTGTGTGTGTGTGTTGGGGATGGAGTGGGAGTAGAGCCAGAGGAGGGAGACTGAGAGAGATGCAGCAATATTTTGTTTTTGATCCTAGAAAGCTCCAAGAGTAAGCACTGTCCCCAGTGAATGGTCATTTCTGCAGAGATTATTCTCACAGGACATGGCCTTCTCAGCCCCAATAGTCACTGTGCACAGTAGGCTATGCCTTGGTGGGAGGTGAGGGGAGGCACAGGAGCTAGAGAACCCAGGAAGTAGCCACGTTTAAAACCACCTCTTCTTGCCAGGGAAAGAGAACAAATATTGAGGACTTCAAGGCCAAAGCTTTGGAGGGCTCTTATACATCAGCCATAAAGGTATCTGTTGGTAACAGTGAGGAAGTCAGGAGAATAGGGCAGGCCAAACCATGCCTGCCCATGTGGTCTTGGCCTGCCTTCCCTTCCTGCACCTGGTGTGGACATTTCCTTTCACAGCACTTTCAATGACTAGGAGGTGACTTCCCAAAGTCCAGACCTGCCTGCCCTATGTCATTCTCTGCTCCCAACTCCAGGGAGTCTCTGTTGGCATTCTAAGGTGACAATGCAATCTAGATTTTCCAATCAGACTCAGTCCATGGCCGGGACTCCCTTCCTCCTCTGCAGTGACACTCATTGTTCTTTAACCTGTGCTGGTCCCTTATCAGCTACTAGCAGAAATGGCCACCTCATTCAAAGCAAAAGCACACAGCTCGCCACTGCTGCCTTCTTCTCATGTGAAATGGGCCTGTGCCTGCCCTTAAACTCTCTACTAGTCACCCCATTCTAGACCTTCTGCTTCCTCTTTGTCTGTTTGTTTTGAGACAGGGTGTCACTATGTTGGTCTAGATGTCCTGGAACTCACTCTGTAGACCAAGCTACCTTTGAATTCACAGAGATCCACCTGCCTGCCTCTGCCTCCCACATGCTAGGATTAAATGCATGAGCTACCACACCTGGCACGTCCTGCTTCTTTATTCCTAGAAAGCATTTCAGACAGGCCTCCTGGAGCTCCTGGCTAAGGTGCACCAGCCCAAACCAGAACTAATGCTTTGTTGCAGAAAAAGACCACTTGGTCTCTGCAGCAACACCTTCATTTTCTCCCGCAGACCTCTCATCTCCTTCACTGAGTCTGTCCACAAACCCTTTTCTGAAGAAGAGCTTGCTGGATTATGCTGCTGGCTGCTCCCTGCTTCTCTCTTAGATACTGACCATCTGGGCAACACCCCCATAGAGTCTGAATGCTGAGGGAATTTCCCTCCATCTAGGAGATACTGCAGAGAGGCACTAGATAGTTTTAAGCCTTTTTGTTGACTCTTCTCATCCCAGGAAAGAAAAAAATGTCTCCCAAAGATGACTTTTAGAGAAGGTCTAGAGAGATTGTTGGGTTGATAAAGTGCTTTCCAGGTCCTGAGTTCAGATCTCCAACATCCCTGTACACCAGGCACGCGTCTATGATCTCAGTGCTGAAGAGGCAGAGGCAGGAGGATTCATAGAGCCTGCTGGCCAGTCAGTCTAGCTGAGCTGCTGCATTCAGGTGTAGCGAGAGTTCGTCTCAGAAAATAAAGATTGTATGTAAACACACAAACATGCCACTCCCACAAAGTGCCTTATAAAGAGAGGCCAGTTTCTAAGATAACAAGTTTCATGGAGTTTGTCCAATACAGTTTTCTCCACAGCAGCTTGAATAATACAGGGTTCTGAGGTAAACTTTGTGTCTCTACCCGGAAGCTGAAGGAGCAGGATATTCTCTGTCACAGTTTGCTGCTGACACATGCATAGCCAGGACGTGCCTCTGTCAGTGACCTTAGCAATGACTTGTGATAAAGCAAAGGAAACGGACATGTGGCAGGGAACAAGGCCATGCCTTCCTCTACTATTGTAAACTTGGAGACAGGATAGAGCCATCTGATTGTGGCACAGGCGAGGTCTCTAGCACATCCTGTATTCTTTCTGTATTCTTGTCTTTGGAGAGCATGGAATGGTGTTTTCCCTTCTCCATCCAGCAGTAGTCACAGACTGGCAGTTGCCATCAATGCCCAGAAGCTGCTCTTTTAACTGGATGATGGGGGTGGGGCGAGAAGGCAGGAGGGAATGAAGAGAGCTGGCTCTGTGTGAAATGCTGTCCTCATCCAATTGCCTAATGTTTCCTACTGTAGAGTCTTTGGGGTGTGAGCAGATACCCCCTCGTAAGAAACAGACATTTCAAGACTAAATATTAAGTTGAATCAAACTTACAATGATGCAGACAGTTGAAACTTCAATTCTCAGGCCTCATCTGACTACCTCCAACTGTAGGCTGGAGGATGATGCCATGCTGGGCTCTAGGCTGCTTTCTGAGGGCAATATGCTCCCAGCTAGAGCTCATGGGCACTTCTTAGCACTGTCCCCTCCAGTGTAGCTCACTAGCCACACCCTTCTATAGAAGAGTGAATGTAGAGAGGTTTTCCCTGAAGGTTTGACACAAAATCTGCTTTACTAATAATGAGTTGCATGTAGAAGATGTGAGATTGTCTGATGGTTGTGTCTAGTATGTCTACTATACTCCTGCTTCCAGAAATAGTGCTCAGGGATAGCTGACTTTTGCATGCAACATCAGAGGGATGGACTTTGAGACTCTTTCTGGCCATCGTAATCTATCTCACAGGCCACATGATAGGGTCAATGCTGGTCTAAACCAACTAGCTTGTTTTATGGGTCTAGGGCTGCTGGGTCCCTCGGGGCCTTCTGTTTCTCCCTTTCCATGGAGCTGGCTGGGCATGATCCTTGCTCCTTTTCCTCCTCTTCTCATGAATCTTCCTTGTATTTACCATATATATTGCCTGCTGACTGCAAATAGCAGGGTATTCATGGAGACACGAGCAGAAGGCCATTGGGCCAGCCTCCCATCTCCAACACTCCCAGAGGTAGCCATTTGTGCTCTGTAAATGAAGCATGGGGCGGGGGGGGGGGGTGGACACTTCTCCCCAGGGTTCTGTTCTGCAGCTGTGGATTTTCACTTGTTCCCTGGCATCAAATGAAATGCTGCCGCGCTGCCCCTGTGTAAGATGCATGAAGGCAGAGGCTTTGCTTTTGGAAAAGATAAATTGCTGTTCTCAGAGATGAAGTCCAAGTCTGAAAACTCAGAAGCAGGGTGTGTAGGGGATTCTAAATGGGATATATCTTGACACTCAAAGGTCCTATCATTAAGAGAAAGGAGAAAAGGGAGACCAAATCACAGATGGCCTTCTGAGCTGACACTCTCTGCCTCTCACTGAGTCAGTAAGGACAGCAACAGGCTAGTGTTCGACGTGGCTTTTGTATGTCAGCTGCCAGCTGGTGCTTGTCTTTGGTGAAGAATTTAAAAAGTCTAAGTCATGGCTGCCCACTTGCAAGACACAGCAAAGGCAAGATGCAGGCTCAAAGTTGTCACACTTAAAAATTCTGGGCTGTTTGTCTTCTTGAAGGTGAGAGACCATACGTCTATCTTGAGGACAGAATGGCAAGGGTTTCCTTATCGCTCCAGTGCTACATCAATTAAAGCCTTTGAGTTCTTAATAAGGGAACGCTCAGTGCTTGGCCACCAGCAGGAGATAAAGCCGAGCCTTTTGGAGGGAGTCTCCACTGCTCTGCATTTTAATCACCAGCTTTGGCTTCCAGTGCTGCATCTCACACTTGTAACTGAGTCTGGAAGTTCTCAATGTCGTGATGTCCCTTGAAAAGGAAACGAAGACGACAGGGACTTGAAGAAGCCCCAGGTTTACTCATTGTGAACCTGTCCTTCAGATGATCTTTATAAACACACAGCGCCAGTTCAGGACAGTCAGCCCCTTTCTCCTTGTCAACTCCTTGTCACTTAAGCTCACAGACAAAGGCATTGACACAAGCAGGTGGCATCTGCCCTGCCCTTCTCTCCAGGTTGACCTTTGCCTTTATCAGGGAATGAAGTTCAAATGACCAAATCTTATCATTAACTTCTTACATGATGGAACCCGGTTTTCTTGTTACCCTAACAGTATGCCTCATGGCAAAATATCTTTTCTTCCCCTTCTGTAACCATCAGTTTCAGTAGGCGATCAGTACATACACAGCCCCAAGTGGATTTCAAGAAAACTGAGCTCATTTAAACCAGCTTTGTGATAAACACTGGATATTTACTATCCCATAAAGCTTATCTGTTCAGCTGGCGTGGTATAAATCAAATGACAGTAGAATCTGGGTGAGTGATAAGATGGGTAATAACAGCATGTTTGGGGATTCCTCCAAGAGACACCTGTGACTTTTAGCCTGTTGTGATCATGTAACATAACTATGATATTAATAGTCAAATAATGTTCTCCATTACTAGGCTAGTGGTTCTGGCAAACAACACTGCTAAAAGTAAATCTGCAGCCTGAGGAAAAAAATCCCAGCTTTATTCTAGCAGGAATAAAGGTCATACCACGCCAACAGAAATCTTGTTGAATATTAAGACTGAACTGGGATAAAAACCTCAATCCCATTGAACCATAGATAACATTCGTGTCTGGGATACCAACATCTGAACTCTTGAGACATCAAGCTAAGGAGACAGACAGCTCAGTGGGCAAAGTGTTTGCTGTGCAAGCTTGAGGACCTGAGTTCAGATCTACACTACCCATGTGGAAATCTGAGCCTGGCAAAACATGCCTGTGATCCCAACAATGGAAAGTAGAGACAGGAGCATCCCTGGAACTCACTGGCTGCCAGTCTAGCCAAATCAGTGTGCAGATGGGGAGTGATGATGACATGTGACATCAACTTCTGGCCTCAACTTACTCACACAACTGTGAGATGTGGTAGAAAACCAGGTAGGCAAAGAAAACTGCCCCAACTAACAGGAAGACCTTCAACAATATTAATATAACAATTAGATTAAAAAGAATCAACAAATGGTTCGGGTGGTGGCAGCATACGCCTTTAATCCCAGCACTCGGGAGGCAGAGGCAGGCGGATCTCTGTGCGTTTGAAACCAGCCTGGTCTACAAGAGCTAGTTCCAGAATAGCCTCCAAAGTCATAGAGAAATCCTGTCTTGAAACAAACAAACAAACAAACAAAGCAAATTAATAAACCCCAAAGAAGGTATTCTGAAAGTTTGTCACACTGCCACTTAGGAGTTGCAGGCACATGTTTTGAATTTTCTATGACTTTATTTCTAGGGAGTCTTGGAAGCAGGAGTATTTTATTGAAATCTAATGCTGGCCTGAGAAAAGCCCATCGCAAAAAGGAATAGTTAGCTGGAAGGAAGGGTTTCATCCGGTCAGCTTTGGGTAGCCAGCTCTGAGGCATGAGTAATGGACATCCTGGATGTAACTGGAGAATTTGATGTGACTCAACAACTTGGCCAGGTCACTGGGTATGAATGGCATAGTCATCCAAGCAACGACTCAAGAAATTCTAGAGTTCTGAGTGACCCCCCCCCATCCCTGGAGGTCTCCAATGGCCCTTAAACAGCATGGTCTAAATCTAGGCTCTTGTTGTTGAGTGGGAAGATGAGACACTGCAAATGCATCCTGGACAGAGACTTCCTTCCTGAATCATGGAAAGCTCATTTGAACCAACCGCTACAGCACTATAATGCTCTCAGTCTAACACATCTGGCTGGCCAGGGCCCCAGTGCAGGAAGTCACCTCTGCCCCTGGGGCTACATTCCCCCAGGGCAGGATAAGGGATTAGTGGTAGTGGGGTGTGTGTGTGGGGGGGTGGAACAGAGGGAATCACATCCTGAGCAAAGCATGCAGGCACCCTAGGCAGTGCATTCCTCTGGCACAAGCAGGCTCTTGAGTCAGCATCTCCTACCCAGCAGGATGTCAGCAAATACTTAACAAATGAGAGAATGAATGACAGATGAGGATCTCTGCTGCTGTCCAAATTACAGCTCTACACAAACAGAACTATCTGCACTTCCTGCCTTGGCCCTGCCACTGCTGTTTCCCGGATGCTGAAAACACTACCTCTTCCAGACAATTGCCACAGGACACTTTCTCTTAGACTCCTTCAATCTGGCTACTCTCTACCCCCAATCCAAGCACTCTCTCCTGTTTCCACAACATCTTGTCTACTGTCCTGTCCACTCAGAGCCCTCTCTACAAACCCTCCTCTCTTGAGAACACACTTACTTGCATGGACTGAGTTTAGATTTACCAGGTGCCGAGCACCAGGGCTGTTCCTTCATGCATTCTGCTACATAGAATAGAATAGGGGCTATATTAGAGGATGTTACATGCATGGGGTAGGTAAGGCACAAATTCCACTTCACAGCTAAGCTACAAGAAAGTTCAGGGGTTTTCTGGAGGAATATCGAGTGGTTCAACACCAGTGTTCAACACCAGCCCACCCTCTCCAGTCTGGGCCCTGCCGGTGTGTTACCTTACGTGACAAAGGGGACATTGCAGACATGATTAACTTAGAGATCTTGAGATGGGGAGATGGAGACATGGGGACCTGGGTGGGCCTAATAGAATCCTATGAGTATTTGCAAGAGAAACAGGAGGGGCAGGGGCAGGAGACGACAGAAGCAGAGGTCAGAGAAGATGCTCAGACAGACAACTGTCTGAGCCTCCTGGCCTTGAAGGAGGAAGGGCTGAGAGTCAAGAACACAGGCAACCTCTGAAAACTGGAAAAATCAGTAAGACAGCATTCTGCCCCCAAATTTCTGCATGTGCTATGCCCTGCCAGCACTTGGATCTGAGGATTCGGATCTCCAGAATTGTAAGCTATAACTTTTCCTGTCATGAGTCGCTAAAGCCCTGGCCACAGGGAACTCACATAGTGTCATCAATTGGAAAGCCAGGCAGTCCCACCGAGATGGAAGGAAAGGGCCATGATGTACTTCAAGGGGTGGCTAAGAAGCCATGGCCTCAGCCAAATGGAGGCTTTCCGTGTCCCCTCTCATCTGAGGATGTTCTTTTATGACCTGTGTTGAGACAGGTCTGGTGGGGGCACATGGAAACCCTGGGAGCCACTGTGTGAGGTGGTTCCTTAGACCTGGCCACTCTGATTTCCTCAGCGCCCTGTGCAAAGAACCACTCCAGACAACCCCACTGCACCTGTGCCAGAGTCTTCTCAGCCACCAGCAAGAAGGTAGCTGGTAGAGAGAAGAACTAAGTGTGTGTGGGGGGGTACCAGGGGATGCCCCCTCTTCAGGAAGACATGCAGATTATAAAGTTGCCAGGCTTCAGCTTCAGCTACCATGATGGGAGCATTAAAAAAATAACTGACATGGGGCTGGAGAGATGGCTCAGAGGTTAAGAGCACTAACTATTCCCCCAGAGGTCCTGAGTTCAATTCCCAGCAACCACATGGTGGCTCACAACCACCTACAGTGAGATGTGGTGCCCTCTTCTGGCCTATAGGCATACATGGAGGCAGAATGTTACATTCATAATAAATAAATAAATCATAAAAAAAGGCTAACGTTCTTGCTTCTGAGAAGCCCGTCTGTCAGTCAGACTGGCTTCTGCAAGTCTAGTTTGCACACATCTCTGTCTGCATGCACCTCTGTCCCCATTCCCTGGCCCTGCTGCTTGCATAAGAGTGTGAGGCCAGAGGTCAATGTTGGCTGTCTTCCTCTGTCACTTCTCTCTCCTACAGGGGCTCGGTGGCTGGGTAGACTGGCTAGAGCAAGCTCCAGGGATCCCATCTCTATGTCCCCAGTGCTGGGATTACAAGCTTGGCTGCCATGCTCAGTTTTTTATATAGATGTATGTAAAAATGGATCAGGGTCCAGCTTCTCATGCTTGGCTGGTCAGTACTTCACTAACTGAGCCATCTCCCAGCCCCACTGATCTCTGTCTGTCTGTCTGTCTCCCCTCACTTTTTATTTCCTCTTGATGAATACCTGCTTTGGTCACCATGACATCCAGCAGAGTTACACAGCACAGTGGCTTTGGGCATACTGTGCTGTTCCATCTGAGCTCATTCTGGAGCTGGGGCCAGGTCTCCTAACACAGCTGGGCACTAAAAGGCTCCAAAGGCTGGGCGTGCTGGCCAAGGACAGCTCCCATAAAGGGAGCAGCAGACTAGCCACTGTAACTTTAGATGGGAGCTTCCTGCCTGTAGAAGCGCTGGGAGAGTGGAAGGGCCACTAGGGATGCCTGAGGCCTGCTGCACTAGCCCCTGTCCTAACGTGACCTTGCTTGCCTAAAAGGTGTCCGGACTCTCTAATCCATTCAGAGTCTCAGGACCATTTGACATGTGTATAATGAGTGTCTTCCTAGTGTGTGCCGTTGTCATGGTGGTATCCTACCTTTGTCTTAAGGATCTCATGGGCATCAGGTGAGAAGGTCAGCACTGAGGCTCTAAAGAGGAAGTGTGAGGGACCGGAAGTCTCGGGACCTTTTACTCTACTTGTCCAGGGTACATCCACTTGTGGGAGCCTTTCTTCTTCCCCAGAAAGCTCCAAGTAAGGGGTGTCTTCGTTGGGCATTGAGGATGCTCCAGGCTTCAGTGTTGTACCCACATAGCAGTTAAAACCAGGCTTCTGTGTTTGCTCATCATTTTTCTGCCCTGGATGACGCCCCTTATCCCTCTGGAAACCAGAGCCCCGAAGAAAGTCTCTGGTTTCTCCTGGAGCCGGCTCAGCTCGAGGTCTGAGTCTGGCTGACCATAGTGGCCTTGCTGGCGCTGGGGCTTCTGGCCAGGTCTGAGGTCATCTCTTAGCCTTAAGTAAGGACTCAGCCAAGCATAATGGAAAGAAAGAATTGCAACACACTTAGAAAACAATCCCAGTGGGATTCCTAGCCAGGATCCTGGGAGCTGTAAATGGAGCAGATCCAGAATGGTTTCTAGGTAATAAGGCCTCCCCTGGAGTGGCAAGAGGTTCTAGTAATAAGGCTCAGGGTGGTAAACCCCTGGGGCAGTGAGGCCTCCAGAGCAGGGTGAGGGCCCTGGGTAGTGAGATTTCCCCCCTGCCCTGGTAGTGAGGTCTGGGATAGTGAGGCTTTTATGCACTAAGACTCCAGTATCAGATCCTATGATACCCTGGATCTGAATTCAGAGTAGTGTCCTGGAGGAGCTATACACGCAGGGCCTTGGGCATTAGTTTGCATTTTAGAACCTCAATGGAATTTTAGATTAAGGCCTCATCTGCTCATTGGGGTGACTAACACCGTGGGAATTACACCCGGAGGCTGGGTCACCGTGACTGGGTTTAAATCCTAGCCATGCCTCGAGCAGAAGCAGACTTCCCATCTCAGAGTCTATGCTTCGTTGCAGAGCAGAGTGGGAATGTGTGGAGGAATCCCCCGAGGAGCCAGGACAGACTTAGGCACACAGAGCATACTTCTCCAGTGTCCCTCATAGAACTGGGAGAGGCCACATACCTGGTCCCCAGAGCGTGACACACTGCTGCTCATGGGTCTGGCAGATGCCGTTGTAGCAGTAACCGTCCACTCCCTGACACGGGTGCCCATCATGTAGGTACACATTGGCTGGGCAGTGAGGGGCAGTCCCTGTGCAGAATTCTGGGAGGTCACAGGAGTTGCTGGAGGGCCTACATGCAGTTCCCGGAGGCTTCAGCTGAAATGACAAGGTGGCTTATGGCACATGTACCAAGTAGGAGGAAACAGCCCCTAGGAGCTCTCCTGGGGCAGAGCACAACGGGCCACCTACTACAGTCATGTAAACAGGTGGGGATTTTGACGCCAATCCCTTAAATGGTTTTGTGAGGTTCACATTTGTGCTAGAAGGCTGGGTGGGCAGCCAAGAATAGCTCATGTGGGAACAGCAGGTAACATTAGAGTTCTCCAAGGAGCAAACAAGCTAGCTCTTGTCCAGTCTCTTGCTGAAGAGGTGAACTTTTTTCAGGCTGTTGACACCATCACCTGCTCTAAGTTGACGCTTGTCCTTCTCCTTAGGCATTTTTGGGCAAGGTAGCAAAATCAGCAAGATCTGACTCTCAATAGCAGTGCGATGCTGTCATTAAAGAACCAGGGCCCCTTTTGATCACTTTATGGGGAAGGCTGGGGACAGGGTAATGGCAGCAGGAAGGGTAGGAGGAGGGCGGGGCTGGGGAGAAGGACCAGGAGGTGGCAGCAGAAGCAGCAGTGACAGCTGTTAGATCCCTGACCAGCAGCTTATCATTTAGGCTGATGAAATTAAGGATCAGGGGAAGTTGTCTGAGCTCCATAGTCAAGGCCACTAAGTGCTGGGCTTGGCTGGCCTGCATACTCCCAAAGGCCACAAGGTGAATCAACTACCAACTCCTGGAAGGTCTGAAGTTTAGAAGGGATTACTTGAAAGCTACAAAGTGGGTGGCAGTCGGTGTCCTCACATATCCCTCCCTCCTTGGGACTGTCTTGAGTCTTTCTCATTGTAGGCTCACCTGCTCTCATCTTCCCTCATCTCCTTCCCAGCACTCTCCAGCACCAGTACAGGGGTGCGTGGGTACCAGGTACTTCTTACAACATTCTCCAGACTTAGTGACTTAGTGAAGGAGTACATATATGCCCTGTCTCTGTCTCTGTCTCTGTCTCTGTCTCTGTCTCTGTCTCTGTCTCTGTCTCTCTCTCTCTTGCATGCATGCACGCACGCACACAAACATGCATGCACGCACTATAACCCACTTCTAAAAGATGTGCTTGGGTGGGGTGAATAAGAGAGTTTCCAGCAGTCTTTGTGCCAAGATCAACTGCTTAAGTACCAAGGCATAAAGTCTGTCCTGGGAACCTCTAATGCTCAGGCCTGCCCCAAAAGACATGCATTCTGAATAAACAGGATGAATGGTGGAAATGCCAAAGCAGGCGCAGTCACATCAGCACAAACAGCAAGTCAGGCAACTGCCACTCCGGCAGCTCAGGGTGGCCCACACTTTCTGTTGGTGCAGACATTCCAGGAACCACCAGCATGGGTTCTCGGCTGCCGACCAGACACTGGTATCAGGCATGTGGACCTGGCAGGAAGCCGAGTGACGGGTAGGGCTGGATTCTCCTCCCTTTGTTTTTTTTTTTTCATAGAGTTAGGACCCCAGAAGATGAAATGGAATATTAAGGTTGAGCTTGGGTTTCTAGCCCACAGACAATTTATCACAAGAATTAGCAATTGGAATGTTCATTTTACCAGATCCGAAAATTCTAAGAACAGCTAGATGGTACTGACTGGTTGAAAGGGCAGCTTCCCGGAATGAGCTTGGGGCAATCAGCCGACCAGACTGCTCTGCTTGCATCGGACTGGAGCCACGCAGACCAGTCAGCATCCTCAGGCCAAGCTGAACTCACCTGGCAGTCTTCACAGCACTGCCCGTGTGCACACACAGCATCCGGCTTCAGAGTACAGGTGGTGGCGTTACAGCAGCGATTGGTACATTCCTGTGGAGGACAATGGGATATGTTTCAAGGGTCATATGGAGCAGTGACTCTCAGAATACAAATGTCACACCCTAAATGATGGCGAAGGATAAGGTGGCCCAGATCCTGAGCTGAAAACCTGCCCCAGACTGTTTTCCTTGGCACAAGAGCAAAGTGTCTGTTAAGTGTTTGTGAACCGTGGAGTCTGGTGTTGCTAAGAGAGGTCAGGAGCATGCAAGTGCCCTTCATGGGAGGAGTGGGGGTGCTGGGAGCTCCTCAGGTCAGTGGCACATTGGTGCTTCCAGAGAACTCTCCCTTCAGGTCACGTAGTGAGCTGTGTTGGAATCATTGAAGGACTTGGAAGTTGCACATTTGAAAATACATGCCTGGTGGTGGCAGCACACGTCTTTAACACCAGTACTTGGGAGGCAGAGGCAGATGATTCTCTGTGAGTTAGAGGCCAGTCTAGCCTGGTCTACAGAGCGAGTTCTAGGACAGCTAGAGCTACAGGGAGAAATGCTGTCTCAAAATAAAACAAAACAAAACAAAACAACTATACATAGTTGTGACCCTTACTCTTTGAGAATGAATTTTTCTGATGGATAGGAGAACAACTCAATGGTACAGCACTTGTTTGGTGTATTTGTTAAAATAAAGGGGAGGGGTGTCTACTTCTAATTTGGAGTATACAGATGCACTAAAAGGAAAAAAACCCTCAGGTTAGTTCACTGTGGTATAAGCCAGGTGGGTGAGGAAGAAACCCTTGTTTAGTAAAGGGAGGTTCTTGGCCTAGGACATTCTGGGAAGTGGATTGCACATCAGAATAAGGCCAAAGGGTCTGGTTCTCATTTTATTTTCATTTTCCCCTCCCTCCCTCCCTCCCTCCCTCTCTCCCTCCCTCCCTCCCTCCCTTCCTTTCTTTTTTCTTCCTCCCTTCCTCCCTCCTTTTCCTTTTTGGCCCCTCTCTTTCCCTCTTACTTCCTTCTCTCCCCTTTTCTTCTCCTTTCCTTCTTCCGTTTCTCTTATACAATTCATCAAACCCAAGGACTCATGGATGCAAGGCTCGTATGCTACCAGCTGGGCTATATCCCCAGCCTCCTTCCTTGTTTTGGGAGACAAGGTCTCTCTATGTGGGCCTGGCTTACATGGTACTCCCTTTGTAGACAGGCTGGCCCCCAACCCTTGGTGGGTGATCCTCTTGCCTCTACCTCCTTAGTGGGGGGATTGTAGGCTCGCACTATCATATCTGGTCTGAGCATGCTCATTTTCAAGGGATCTAAATACTTAAAAACTGAGATGTCTCGCCCTCTCTGAAACAAAAGTGAAGAAGAAATTCAACTCCTTTAGTAGACAGTGTATCACCTGAGCACATGGCTTTCTGGCAGAGAGAGAAGGGGACCAACACCCTTTGCCTGGGTTAGCAGAAGGCCTGCATCCATTTGTGTTGCAAACCTTTGAAGTCCATGAGCTTTAGAGCATCCTGTTAGCTTGGAATTTGTGTGATTTAGAAGAAAATGTCACAGAATGCTTAATGCTGCCTGTGTCTCAACGTTCTTTTATTTTTGATGCATGCTGAAGAACTTACACCTGGCCAGCTGTCATGAAGCTAATCGAATCCATGTCTAAGAGTAAAACATCTTGGAAAAGATATCTCTCATGAATGAATTTTTTATCACTCTCATAGATGCAATTAATAAATCTGCCAGTGTTTGGGAAGATTTAGGACATCCCTACACACCTGCCCAGCATCCACTATGGGGCTCCATGAACTGATCTCTCATGTAGTGTTTACGTTTGCTCCTACCATGCATACTTCCAAAGCTGTTAAATTTGAAATCTGTTTGAGGACTTTATAAACATCCGGGACATGTAATGTATACAGTAAGATAAAGCTGCCAACCAGAAGTCACTGCGGCAGCTTTCATGACAGTAAGGGTTTTTAGCTTATGGGCTTACAACTCTATACAAGTTTAGAAACTTTCTCCCCCTTAAAGATCCCATTAATTGCATCCTGGATCAGTGCCATCGAATGTGCAGCAGCGCTGTTCTGCTTGCTATGGTCTCAGTGACTTCCCTAGTGTTATAGCAGCTGAGCCAGAGACTTCCTTGCAATGCTGAGTTAAAGCAGCCATCTGATATCTGGGTCTAAAATACTTGTACGGATTCCTCCTGCCTCCCCTCAAATCACTAGAAATGTAAGCAGCAGCTCCAATGGGAATGTAGCCAAGTGGAATGACTTCAAAGGGGATCAATCACACAAGAAAGATAATGACATTTAAAAGATGTGTGAGGGACTGGTATCTTCTTGACTTTAAATGAGATGGGGCAGTGTTACCAGCCTGGTTAGATGGAAGGGTGGGTGGGTTATCAGGGAATCCTTAATGCCTTCTACCACAAGGTAAAAACAATTCACTACCCCAAATCTATTTCTGTACTACTGTATTTCTCAGAAGAGACAAATTCCTTGTCTATTGATGCATTTACTATTTTAGTAGCCAGCAGGGAAACAATAGAGCCAATGAATGTCAGATCTTCAAATAAGAATAATAAAGCCATTAAGGAACCTGTGTAAGGACCAAACAGTCTTTCTTGGGCTGTAGGGAGCAGATGCTGATTCTTAGTCACCATGAGCTGGGGTAAAGCAATAGTGCACTTTCCTAGAAACATTGGGGCTTACTTCTGGAAGTGAGGGAGCACACACAGGCTTGTCATTCCCTGTCATTCCCTGCTTCCCTGGTGTGATATACCAAGTCCCATTTGAACCAGGGGATGCATGGTTTGGTGCGATTAACGGCAGGAGGGGTGTCTGCAGGACCTGGGCACTGGGGACCAGGAAAAAGAGCCTAGGTAGTGGGTTTGAATGAAAGTCTCAGGCAAAGAAGAAGCCAACAGCTTCATAATTAAAAAAAAAGAAGATTTCTTAGGAGGAAGAGCTTTCAATGAGGAAAAGGGAGATTTTTTTTCTATCAAGAAACCTCTTTATGAAAAAAAGGACCCTAACCACAGAAATATCAAGTTGGGAACTACGTGCAAGCAGAATTGGTTCTATCTAATGAGGAGTTTATCACCATCAACACTGCCCCACAGTGTAGTGAGGTCCCTGGAGAGAGATCAAGCACCTACCCATGGCTGTAGGATTGTTTTGTGGAGATGAAGGGGTAGGACACGAGTAGCTGGCAATAGGAACTCGAGGATCTGTTGATTTGTTGGTGCTGATGGTGATGGGAGTGCTAGCAGTGATGGTGCTGATACGGTGCTGTGGTGATGATGATGGTCAGGATGTAGTGATAGCAACAGAGACAGTGGTGGTGGGGACACTGGTGTGGCAGCCGTGGTGAGTGGGGTGGTGATGCAGGTACATTCGTGACGGCAGATGTGGAGATGGCAATTAATGGTGAGGATGGCAGTGTGAGGATGGCGGTGTGGAGAGGATGGTGATTGTGGTAATGGACATGGCAGTGATGGCGGCTGTGGCAGTAGATGGTAATGGAGGCAGATGGGGTGAATGACTGCCAGTGAAGTCATTCCAAATCTCAGCATTCATGATCCCATGAAGAATCATCAGATTTACTTGCATTAATAAATAATTATAAGGCATTCAGATCAAAGGCAAACCATCTTAAGTTAACATGGCCTCTCCTGAGACATGTGGGTAATTTAAACTAATTGGGTTGTTTCTTTAAGCAATTAACAAGGCCTCCAAGGGACTTTTCTCCTTTGCACATACTATCCCTTGATGGCTTCACTTTTCCCTCTGTTAATCCTGAAGACGTTCTGTAGCACTATAATTAGGACTTGTTCCTAGCCAGCAACTGCTCCCCGCTCACTGTGAGCAAAATTAACCACCGCTGTGGACAAGGCCATTATCATGGGTAAGTTCTGAGTTTGTCAAGGACACAAAACTACTTCTGTCTCTCCTCACTCCATCTGATTATCCCTACACCCCAGTGCTGTGCATTTTCTCTCAGAACCTGTGAGAACAAGAGCATTCCTGCTGGCATGGAGCCTCCTCGGGGACTTGGAGACAGGCTAGGATAAAGATTCTATTATTCCTGTGATGAGAACAGGGATACATGAGCTGCCTTGGCTTCCTGCCCCAGCTTTCCTTGTTTCCCAGGTGCCTCCTTCCAAAGGAGCCCTCTAAGATGCCAGCTTCTAGAGCCATTGTGGAGCCCACCTATGGACCTGACTAAGCCTACCTCAGACCTGTCTCCCATGCTGGCTTGCATATGTTCTCATGGCAGGAGCACCAGCCCACCTTTGTACAACACTCAGCTTTGATTTACTCTGAATGCCATCTTCTCCAAGTTGTGTATGAGGCACCTGTGATGCTGGGAGGTGACAGTGCTCTCTCTTAGTTGTTCTTTCTCAAGACGATTTTGGGAGTGAAAAGTGACTTACATGTTTTACATTGACCAGCTTCATCTTGGGCCTATACAAACAAGAAACTTCCCAGAGATCAGCTGGGAAGCAGGGTTCGGTAAGGGTAGTGCTAGATGCCAATGCTGGCTGCTTTTTCTTGTTCCTGAGAACCAACAAGCTAAAAGGCTGGATCGTCTGGGACCTCGGCTGTGTACACAGGGGAGGCTGCAGAAGAATCTCAACTGGACAGAAAGAACTCAGCTCAATGCTGCTTATCCACACCCCATGTCACAGTAGGCTTTGCAGAGAGAAAGGCATGGGACTATGGAGCCCTTAGAAGCTGGACTACCAGAGCCTTGCTTTACAAGAAACTCTGAGCTAAATGCTTTTTTTTATTGTTCTCATCCTCATCACCCTAAGAATGGGGCACCCTTCAATAGAGGAGAAGGCACTCCCTTGTTAAAACCTAGTGATACAGCTAACTCTATACATGGTTAACACTGCAGAAAGCCAACCCCTATGGGGAGCTTGTTCAAGGTAGCCATATAGGACTTTTCCAGAGAATTTCTATTACACCAGCATCCTCACTACCAATTCATTATCTTCCCCTCCTCCCTCATGTATATGTAGGTCAGAAGTCAGCATCAAGCATCATTCCTCAGGTTCTGTCCACTTTGGTTTTGGGCTAAGGTCTCTCACTGGGACTTCTAGGGCTGAGTGGCTAGTATGTTTCTGGGATCTGCCTATCTCTGCATCTCCAGTGCTGGGACCACAGACATGCACCACCACACCCAGCTTTTCCATGCAGGCTTTTAGGATGGAAAGTCCTTTACCAAGTGAGCTATCTTTCTAGCCTATCACCAGGTTTTAGCATGTTCATTTTGCTGCCTGAGTTCACCCAAGCTCCCCCTCCTCCCAGTCAGACGCAACAGTAGGCACCATGAAGAAGGCCCCCTTACCTCTGGTTCCCCGCAGTCACATTCTTCTCCTTCTTCCACATAGCCATTTCCACACTTCCGGCCCCCAAAGGCCTGCTTGACCTCTGGGAGATTGAAGAGGCACACGCCCATTCCCTTCTCTAGGCTAGCCTCCAGGTCCTTCCTGCTACAGCTGCTGAACACCATGGGGAATGGGAACCTGAGGAGGAGAGGCCCCAGTGAGTCACAGGCCCCAGTGGCCTTCTGTCTTCAGGAGCTATGGCCCAGGATGCCTTCTGGAAGCAATGTGCAGCTGCTCACAGCTATTTCAATGAACAGAGTTTGCTTAAACACAGTCAGATGAGGCACTGTCAGATGGTCCCGGCTTTCATTCCCATATGGCGAGGAAGACGGGCTTTGTCAAAAAAGAAGTGATCTTTTACAGTTTCACAGCAATAGCTTTAGACAGAGTCACAACATGGTGCTCTGAATAGTTCTTCAATGAAGTTGTATTAGTTGCTTTTCTATTGCTGTGACAAAAACACTAGGACCAAGGCAACCTTTAAAAGAAGTCATTTAATTGGGCTTATGGTTTCAGAGGGTTAGAGTCTATGATGGTGGACCAAAGGTAAGATGGCAGGTATAGCTGAGAGTTCATTTCTGGATCCACAAGCAGGAAGCAGAGAGAGTGAGAGAGGGAAAGATGGGGGGGGGGCACAGAAAGAGAGAGACAGAGCCACTGAAAGAGATACAGAGAGATAGATAGGGAAACAGAGACAGAGAGAGACAGAGAGACAGACTGGAAAGGGCAACCATGTTTTGAAACTTCAAAGCCCACTCCCCAGTGGCACTGCTCTTTCAATACGGCTACTACACCTTTAAATCCTTCCTAAACAGTTCCACCAATGGGGGACCAAGTATGCAAGCTTATGAGCCTACTGAGGCCATTCTCATTTAAACCACCACAGAGGTGATGCTGTAGGAAATGAAGTCTCAGGGCCTAGAACTTATAACAAAGAAATATATCAATGTCTACTGGTGTGTGCAAAGAGGAAAATGAGCATATGGTGGTGCTTATGGGATTCATGGCATGGGTCCAGGGGATATGTGGTCTGACCTACTGTAGATCAGGTTGATATTGGCATTCACACCTATGAGAACAAGCCAGTCTTTGCATGGCAAAGCTCTTAGCAAATGGAAGTGGTCCAGAAACACTGGCCTTGCTCTTGCTTTGCCTATAAATGCCAGGGCTCCAAAGGGTGGGGTGTGGTCAGTCACAGAGTGCTGGTCCCTTTCTGGGGTCTAGAGGAGCTGTCAGGCACTTGGCACTTAGTGGACTGTGAGTAGAAGTGATATTGGCTTTGTGGTGTTAAACTGACCTCTTCCTCCCTTAAGACTTCCTTTCCCTTTCTCTCAAATTACCAGAAGCTAGAGGAGCTGCAGGTGGTATCTGGTCCTGCCTGACTCCCAGAGAGAGAGAGAACCCTAGAGCCCCCGTGTGTCCTCTGGGCTGTAAACACACATCCGTGAGCTTCAGAGAACTGGGGACTTCTTCCTAGAGCAGCCAGTGTTATGGGTATGGTTTAGTGAGCCCCCCAGGGGTCAGATTCTCAGAGTGCCTCCAATGAGCTGTTGCTGGGAGACGAGGGGCCATGCACAGGTGGGGCCTCCTGGAGGTGGGGTATGTAGCTCCTGAGAGACCCTGACTAGTTCCCACTAGAATGAGACATTAAAAGGACAAGGTTGGCTACGGAATCATTCTTGCCTCCTGTCTTGCCACATGACTGCTTCCTCTTGCATGCCTTTTGTCATGGTGATATCTTTTGCCACAAGGCCCCCACTAGGGTAGCACAGATGATGGCACCACACCTTTGAACAAACTCTAAATTATATGCTGAATAAACCTATTTTTTATATATTATATACCACCAAACATTTTGTGATAGCAACAGACTAATATAGTTGCCCAACTCTTGAGGTATTGAAGATGACAAGAACAGGCCTGCCAGAAACCCCGAAGGTTTTATGACTTAGTGAGGAAGCAAGCCTACTCTCCAGCATGACCAGGCATACTTCCTTATGGAGATAGTTACAGGGTGACATTCTTATTGGAACTCAATCAGCTTGCCAGGCCAACATAAGCAGCTACATCTCCCTAAATATGGCAGAGAAACTGCCACATCATGACTTAGTTTGGCAATACTTCTGGGTCCTGACGTTTCATGCAGCCAAGCTGATGACACCATTCCTCTGCTCCCCCACCACTCTCAGGTTAACTGGAGTAGAAGTCAAACCACCAAAAAACAAACGAAGTTGCGTCCTGCTCTGGCAGATGGGCAGGTAAGTTGAGACAGATGGGAAGGACTGTGACAGAGTTCCCTTTGGACTCTTTGTAAGTTTCCTTGGCAGATAGATTAATGCTGGCATCAAAATAATGCAGAAAAGCTCCACTGAATGATGGAGTGTTATACTTTCAATTTAGAAAGACTTGGTGTGGAAGAGACCAGTGCATTATACAAGGCACCAAGGGCAGCTCTCCTCTGCTTGGCCAAGGCCAAGTGCAGGCCTTCTCTGCCATTTGAGAGTGCCCCTCGATGAGGACCCTGGGGCCTGAAGCTCATTCTCAGACATACACAGCTAGGTGCTGTGGGAACAGACCGTGACCAGCTCCCTCCAGAAGATACCAGTCTCTGGAGAGTGTCCCAGTTAATTAGAAAAGACTCCAGGATAAGTTGAGGGGAAGGTTTGGCCATGAAGAAGAGACAGGGTGCTGCAGAGTTGGCTCAGTGGGTAGAGAGCTCACAATGCAAGTGTGGGGGCCTCAGGTCACATCCCCAGAACCGATGTTAAACAGTAGTGTGTGTCTATGGTCCCAGTACACCCATGATAGGAGAGGAGGCAGAGACAAGAGAATCCCCAGGAGCCTGATGTACTCAGTAGAAAGCCAAGTGGTCCTGTATCACACAAGGTGGCAGGTGAGGACCAAAACATAAGGCTGTCCTCTGACTTGCAGGCATCAATTCCTTAGGGAGCCTCTGCTGGAACCACAAAACATCACTGTCCTGAGAAACCAAGTAAGGTTTTAATAAGGTTGCTGACCATGAGGGTCACTCACACATATCACAGAGGTTATCCTCACCCCAAAGCCTAAGTATGCTGGCCTTCCCAGTTGTGCTTGATAAAACTTCCAGGGACTGCAGGCAATGGCCTGCACAACTTTCTCCTCCGACCTGGGGTCTTTGGGGCCTTCTCCAGTGCCTAAAGACCTTCCTCAAGCCATTTTTCCCTTTCTTTGGTACTGGTTGGTAACCAGGCATGCCGGGCAAGTGTTATAACCCTGAGCCACTTGGTAGATAGCCCTGATAACACCCTCGCCTATTATAGCTCTTTGGATGGCAAACAGTGATGGGGCTGAAGGACATTTTCTGCCTGTAGACAATTTTCTCCTGATCCATCTTTTTATGATTCTTAATGGAAGGGACCACTGACTATTTGCTTCTGATAGCTTATTCTTGAGCTTTCTCTGGGCATTTAGAGGAAGAAAAGCAATGTTACTCTAGCATGCAGTGATTCCAAAAACATTCCACACTGAGGAGGTATCAGGCTTGTTGCAGACTTTAGGTAGGGAAGTGCACAAAACACACAGCAGATGCCAAGGCTCCTGGAAGTTTGTTCTGACGGGCAGGTGGGTGGGTGGGCAGAGAGGTGGGGATGTAAGGGAGCAAAGTGAGTCCATTAGGAAGGAAGACATTGAGGAAAACAAGCCACAGGGAGGCATGCTGAGCTGATAGAGAGGGTAGACCCCCAAGAAGAACTCACTGTGAAGGGAGCCAGTGAGCCTCTCCAAAGGGCAAGATGGTAAGAGTATGGACACATCTGGGAAGGGCTCACCATAGGCACAGGCGGCAGTTACTCCTGGTGGAATATTCATCAGTAAACAAGCAGCCCCTTCTCCAGGAAAGAGCCCCCAGCCAGCCCTTGTCATTCACAGCCAAGGACAAAGTACTGCTATGGTGAGAAGATACCAGAGTGTCCTTACCCATGACGCTTTGCCATCTGTTGTACAAATACATTTGTTCATCTCTTCAGGCAGCAAGGGTGATATGGACCAGCCTGCCAGAAACCCAGAAGGTTTTGTGACTTCATGAGGAGGGAGGCCTACTGTCTAGCAAGGCCAGGAGTACCTCCCACAGAGACATTTAGCGGGTGACATTATAATTGACACAGTCTCAATGGAGGCACTTTTCTATTCCCAGTTTTCAGCAAACTCCATTTGACCTAAGCCATTAAGGTGCTCGTTGGACTACTGTTCAGTGCTAAGAAAGCATCAAAATGTAAAGCTAATGGGTCCTGACCACCACTCCATGCACAAAGTTTAATAATCTGAAAGTTATTTCAGGTCTCAAAAGGGAAGGAAAATTGAACAGAACCAAAATATTAGATTGTTCTCATTACAATACTATTCTGATCTACACATATCAGAATAATTTTATACCCCAAAGGGCCATTGGGTGCTTAGTGGCCAGCGAACATAGCCAAGGATTGCTGGTTCATGGCGTCATAGGTTGCTTGATTATTAGCATGAGCAATGTGCTAGTGAGCCCCGAGTTAGGCTTAAAATCAACTCTCTGACCACTGATGGGTGCTATCACTCCAGTTTAGCCAGTTTAGGGAAGTGATGCTGAGAATGCCCAGCAAGACCACATGCATCACTGCTTCCTATTCTGCTGCCCTGGAGCTTTCTATGATGGCAGACAGCTGATCTGGATGCTGTCTTCACGACTCTCAGTTACTTGTACAACCATTTGAGAAGTAGTTTGCAAGTGTCCATTATACTGGAAGCTAAAAACATGATAATTCAGATACAGCCTACTATAGTATTGCCCAGTGTTTTCAGGATTAAGTCATGCCAAGTCCCTTTACTTTCTGACTGCCCAATGCTGTCTCTGTCTTTCCAACCATTTCTCTAAATTCTGTAGGATTCCCAGGAAATGGTCCTAGAATTGTCAAGCCCTCAGGTACATGGTTATTTGTGTCACATATGTGGGTACCACAGGTTAATTCTGTCATAGTCTTCACACCACAAGATTATAGATTCCCAAGACTAGTTAACTGAGTTAGATTTTGGTCTAACCATCCATTCAAAACAACCCAAGGAGAATATTATTCCCATTTGCAAAGAGATGAGTTTCTAGATAGGGGCTGACAGACTCTGGGTTT